CCGGCACAGGTGGGGAGCCGACGGTGGGGATGCAGTGGGGGCCCCCTGTGTGCTGACCGCCTGCCGCATCCCGCCCAGATACGCCGCCCCACACCTGGAGGCAGCCCCTCGGGTCACCGTTGTGCCTCCCCCGGCCTCAGGCTCATCAGGGCCTGGCCTAGCGGGAGGGTGGGCAGGCGGGCTCAGTGAGTGGGGAGTGGCTTAGGTCAGGGCGCAGTAAAGAGAAGCGGAAGCCGGGAGCAGGAGGGGTGGCAGAACCAGGGGCTACACCGCCTGCACAGGGGCGTGTGCGAGAGGAGCTGGGGCAGGGCAGGTGCCGGCCCGTAAGCAGAGCCTGGATGGCTCGCCCCATCCTCCTAGGGCCGCAGGCTGCTTGGTGCGGCTCTAGAACCCTGACGGGCCCAACCTCAAATCCTCACCACGGCCCTGTGCACAGGGCCCCCAGTTATGCCCCCCCCCCGCCCCCGGCAGATGATGAAGCTGAGGTCATGCCAGAATCCCCCCACGCCTCTGCCTGACCTTATAACGTCTGGGCTCTTAACTTGAATGTCTCCCTCCTTCCCTCCGAGACGGTCCATAGAGACAAACGTGCCCGACATGAGAGTGACTGTGGCAGGGGGTGCGGGGGGTGCAACCAAGGGCCTGAAGTGCTGCCTGAGCCCTCCTGGGGGTCCTGCTTCCACTCCCATCGCTGTTCCCTGTTCCTCATTCCAAAGCAGTGAGGACTGGCATCGGGGGCCGCCGGGTGCGCCTGGCTCCCTGCCACTCCCCTGGGGCTGCCAAGTCCTCCAGGGATACAGCACTACCTCGGCTGGCGGCCCCCAGAGCCCCCGAGAGCAAAACTGACGGGGTTCTTGATCCTAGTGGCTGGTGACACGCACGCCCGGAATGTCGCGAGAAGAGCTGTAATAAGCTATCCAAAGTGATCGCCCTTGAACGGGAGTCGCTGACGCCAAATTAGTTGGGATGAAAGGCAGGGGGTGCAGACACTTCTCGGTCTGGGGGAGGCGGGAGGGAAAAGTGATTACCCAATAGGTTTCTGGCTTTAATTGATTTGTATTTTCCCAGGCTGCTAAGGAAGATTACATCGAGGTAGGAAAAGCGCCTGGGGCTTAAAATAAATGAGGAGGAAGGCGCGTCATTTCAGAAATGTCCAGGAAGCAAACCCAACCTCAGGTGCAAATTGCAGGCTTGGTTCTTGCACCTTTGTTCGGGGGCTGTCTTTGCCGTTGGGTTTGACAAGCCCCCGAGGTTTGCAGGCTTTGAGGAAGCCGTTCTGAGGGGGAGGGAGGAAGGGGGACTCAGCCCCTCACAGTTCTCCCGGCCGGTGACGGGTGGCAAAGGCTTCGGCTAGGAGGCAGGACACCTAGTTCCAGTCCTGGCTCTGCCCTTGAAGAACAAGTGACCCTGGCCAACAATGGCCCCCTTCCTGGGCCTCAGTTTACCCAGCTGTAAAGCGAGGGGATTCGGGTCGGAGGCTCTGCAAGGGGCTTTTAGAGCCTGGTGATCAGTGGAAGGGGAAATGACTTGCCCCAAATCACACAGCCAGCGACTGCTGGCCATTCTCACCCTCCAAAGTCTCGTGTGCAAAATGGGAATGAAAGTACCCATTCCTCAGGGTTGTGCAAAGACGAGATGAGATCATGCTAACAGTAGTCCCTGTGTAGTGTGCCCTGACCAGACGCCAGTCACTGCCTAACACTTCAGATATATTAGCTCCTGGGATCCTCCCAACACCCCCACTTCATCGGGAAGGAAAGCGAGGCCTGGGGCAGGCTCCCCAGCTGTAAGAGTGCCCGCGGGATTTGAACTCGGGGCAATCTGGACTGACTTGGCCACGCGCCCTCTCCACAATGAGCACACACCGCGGCAGAGCGCAGAACGGCAGCAAAAGCTACAGCTGCCAATTCAGGGCTGCGTCCCAAGCCTGCCGGTCCCGCCCCACTGGGATGGACGCGACCCCCACGGCGCCGCACCCCTTTCCCCT